AGTCTATCAGGTTAGGGAGCAAAAAAAGGACTGAAGAAGATCCCTATGCTTCCATAATTTAAAATCTCATCATTAACTGTGAGAGTAATAAAAGATCAATAACCATACAATGTAGGCATAATAAGCTGAGACAGAGAGAGAGACAGACAGAGAGAGAGAGAGAGAGAGAGAGAGAGAGAGAGAGAGAGAGAGATCATAATCACAAATGGAAAGCTCCGGCAGGCCCTGGGGCACATGCAGGAGGCCGAGGAACAGTTCTGGCCCTGGGCTCCCAGGCGAGCCTGCAGATGCCCAGCTCTACAAAGGCAGCTACGTCAGACACCACCTGAAAAAGTAGCTAAAATGGCATTAAATTCCAATGCCAACAACAACCAGGAATAGACCCAAGAAATGAGGGAAGACGGTCATGTTCGTTTCTTGATTAGATCATTTTTGGTGGAGATAAACATGCAGAAATATTTATTTTTACATAGAAACATGGATTCTTCCTTCTAGTCTTTTAATTTGTTCCCCATATTAATAGTGGACATGAAAGTTCATTTTCCTCCTCCATCTAATATAAGAAATCTGGTAGCAGGAGGGTGATGCTACAGAGAGACTGGCACTCCCTGTCCCAGAGTCGTAGGGAGTGGTGGAGACAGTAGCAAGTTGGAATGTACCCTCTCATCAAGGGGAGCAGCTGCCACACGACTCCAGCCAGAGGTGGCCATGAGGGGATGAAGGCCAAGGGCTGTTAGAACTTCTGATGCTTCGAGATAATTTAGAAATCTGGAGTCTATGTGAACTTGCAGCATTTTTTTTTTATAAAACATTAGCAATTAATCTGAAGTTTTCAAAAATACCATGGGTCAAAACAAAATACCTTTCTAGGTTTGATTTGGCCTGCAGGTTACCAGTATGCAAATTCTGATCCAAATTTTTCCTGAGATACACTGTTTCCAAGGTGGGCAAAAGCAACAGACTTCATGGATATTTCGCATTACACTCATTACCACTCCATCACCTTGAAGAAGGTAAGAGCTGGGAGGTGTTTTTCATAAGACAGATAGGGTGAGGGGTCAGACGGGGCACCCAGATCTCCCATCTGAAACCCACTGCCAAGTGCTGTTCCCAGCTTGGTTAAGCAGCAAATAACAGATTCACAAGCCTACTTCCTTTCTTCCTCTCAAACATTGCCAAAGCTCTTGTCATTTACGCTGTCCTTAAGTGGTGACATGTTATAATGGATTCCTAAAATAAACAAACAGGCTGAATTCATACTCTCCTCCTTTTTCCAGCTGTTTGGTCATGGGCAAGTTATTTAACCTCTGTGAGCTTCAGTTTTTTTTTCATGTGTAGGATAAAGATATAAATGCCAACGGTTGTGAGGATTAGAAGTGGTACCTGTGCGGTTTTAGTTTCTCAGTCATGACAGGCCTTCCTTGCATGGATAGGAGGGTGTTAACATGAGCAAAATCCTCGTATAGTGCCTAAAACAGAATAAGAGCTCACTGGGAATGACACTCCTTTCCTCTGCAAGGTAAAGTCTGGAACATTTAGCTGTTTTTATAAAGAAAATAATTATCCTTATCAAGAAACGTAGATGTGACCACCGACTGTCCTTTCAACAGGATTGCAGAACTGTGCTCAGGCAAGCTCCTGGTCCCAGAAAGCCTAGAGTTTTGCTGTCTGTGCCTCCATAGGATCCCAGTGGCAGCTGTCTGGTGAGAGACACTCTGTAACAGGATCACCTGGGCCTCTCGGGACAAGATGAGGGAGACAGCACACGGCTGGCAGTTGGCAGAGGCAGGATCTGCCTCCCCAGGGCCTGGCATTAATACCAGCTTTTCTTCAAAAACAAAGTGGCAACATATCAAATGAACCTAGGGAGAGACTGGGGCACAGCTTCACAGCGACTGGGCAACAGATGCGGGGATTTGGGGGAGGTGGGAGGCAAAGCTGGGAGGAGGTGGAAGGCAGCCCCTCAAAGAGCTGAAGGGAGGCCAGCTGCTGGGCTCAAAGAGGGTATGGAGGCTTAGAAGAAGCTCGAATCCCAGAGGTGATGGCATCCCCTCTAAGACAAGTGTGTTCTCATCAGGAGGGGATTCCTGTAACCACACAGTGACAGTGCCAGGGGTTGACATATGTTACCTTCGCATCCTATCTGTGAAGTAAGCTTTACCATCCCTTTGTCACAGATGAATAGCATTCAGGCTCTAGAGCATGGAATAACTTGCTCCGGGCCACTTAGCTAAATGGTGGCGGGACCAGGATTTGGACCAAGTTAGCCTGACTCTGAAATCCAAAAGATGTAGTTGTGTTTGGAGTGTGACTCTCTCTGCCAAGGGTAGAGGCACAGCTTGATCGCTAAGCACAGTGACGTGTCTACAGGTTACTCTTCAGTGACACAGAAATATAATTTAAAAAAAGAAAAGGGAGAGAAGGGTGAAAAAAGTTCATACCCTTGGAGCTGCAGATCCGAGGTGACAGAGGTCCGCTAATACGCTCTGCTGCCTTTAAGGAGAGATGTATCTTTTATGTCCATGCCTTAAGACCACAGACCTGCAACTCAGAGTAAAAGCCAACACCAGGGACTGCATGTACTGGGGACTGTGTACATCCCTGCCTCTGATCGGCTCTGAGCTCTTGGCTCTGTCCTCCATTCCACACCTGGTCTCTGGCCTGGCCTTTGGCTATGACCTTGGTTTGCTCTTGCGTCTTCCCTTTGGGCTATGGTAAGAGTAGTTGAGAGGAGTTGGTTTTGGCATGTAGAAGACCGAGTTTAAAATCCTAGTCACTATCTAGGCAAATTACTCATCACTCTACTTTATCATAAAACAGAGAAACATGTTTACTATGCAGTGTTCCTTTAATAGCATCTGTACTGTGCCTGGCACTTAATGAGAACTTTGGCACTAAGTTCTACTTTCATTATTTCTCACCTGAACTTCTGGGTAGCTGGGACCTCAGGCTCAGAATCTCTTGGCTCTGGCTACCAACTTGGGCCTGACCCTTCCACCATTGCCTCCCTTACATGTAGTTCATTCTTCAAGTGTGAACGCTGCAGACAGTTCAAGTCAGGACATGCTCTGCGTGCACCAGTCACCCCAGGCCAGCTCTGGAAGCCGAGATGTCCTAGGCTGGGGATCTTAGGGATTCCAGGGTTCTCTGCTAAGCCACAGATAAAATCCCAGCTCACAGAGTATGGGGTTAAAAATAAGAAAGCTATGTGGCATTTGGGAAATTCATTCAATATTATTTATGGTTCAGGGACCAATTATATAGTTTGTAATCCGTCTTAACTCTTTTCTCCTTTCTCTTCTGCCTTCCAGGTGTTCAGATTTGTGTGTGTATGTGTGTGCATGTGTGTGTGTGTGTGTGTGTGTGTGTTTTCAATA